TCCAAAGCCGGCGGAAGAGACATGGATAAGCTTCCCTCAAAGAACATGGCCCCAAGATGGATCTTGATTCACCCCCCCCTCGCCCCCTCGTCCGTATGGTGGGCAGTTGAACTGGATGTGTGTGGGTTGAGTCCGCCAAGTTGGACTTGAGTCGGCCGCAGGGGATGAGGAGGCACTGGAGGTCCACACCAAGCAGCCGCTTGACCGGCGAACCCATTGAGGGTGCATAGGCATCCATTGAAGTGACTGGTAGACCTGGTTGAAAATGCACGGTTCTAGGACATGATTATGGGTGAAAACGCAGTTTGTTTGACACTAGATGGATCTCACCGGTGTCAGTGTGTGTGTGTGTGTGTTAAAACACTTACCAGGACCATTTGGTGTTTGACAACGCCTGACAACGGTTTGGAGTCGTGAGTTGAGCTTGGGGCCCAAAAGGAGCTTTCCTACCCTCAAAATGTGGAGTTCCCCTTTGGGCAACCATGTCTTTGCTTTTTGGCTTGACTTTTAGCCAGTTGACTTGGTGGAGGAGGACAATTTCCCCACTCACCAGCAGCAAGTGTATTTTTTGGCCAGTGGCAGAAGACCAATGTTTGTGGCAAGCACAATGTTGATTTGGTGTCTTTGCTCTGGGGAACGCAACATCAAGGATGGAATTCCCCGTTTGGTTTATCAGCCTGCTTCGAAACCAAGTGCTGTTCCAAAAGTGTCCCATGAATGACCAGATTGCAGTCATCTTAAGCCATTGCAGCCACTGCAAACAAAGAGGGCTCTCACTTGATTGCCTGGCTTTGTTGGCAAGCTCAAACATCAAAAAAGTTGCCCTTTTGGCTTCGCGATGATTAGTCAGCAGCTGTCGGCTTCTTGTTGCCGAAAGCACACACGCATAATATCAACAAGGTTGTTTCTGGCTTGTTGAACAACAACAACAACAACAACAACAGCAAAGCGGCGAACCACAACAACATCCGCAAAGCAGCCACGCTCACCCTTCAGGTGACTGCCAGGAATGCCCTGGCTTTTGCGGGTTCCGGTTCCAAGCCGGTTGGTTTCGTTTGTTGAAGGTCAGGTACGTCTTCAATCCGTTGCTTTGTTTGTGTGTTGATTGCGCTGCTGTCTTTTTGATTCTTGTCGGTGGTTCTGTTTTGTTTGCTGCATTTGGTGTGATTCATACAAGTCAATTGTTGTCGCTTGTTCTTGAGCTGTTGGGTTAGCTAAACTTTCTGGGGGAGCATCATGGAAAAAACGAGCTTGTTGTTTTTTTTTGCACGGTTCGTTCGGGTTCCTCGCTGGGGTTTGATCTGGGTGTGGGTCAAAACTCAAGCCACCAGGAAAGGAAATGGACCGCCTTTTTTAGTCATGTGTTCCATTTACCAGGGCAAGCCAGTTGGCTGTGGCTCAAAAAACCGGTACCAAAATGGGTTGCCCTGGTAAGTGGAAACATGGACTTCAAAACCTGCGGTTTGCCCCTCCAATCGTTTAATTTTGAGCCACGGCCATTGACCAGAGCAAGCCGGCCATTTTGGGGTGACCAAAAATTTTCGACCTCCGCCATCTCTGGGGCTTGAGGCTGGACGCGCAGGGCCCGCCGGTGATCTCGGAGGACACGGCCGAGGGCCCGGTGCGAGGCCTGGACTTCCGGGAGGTGGAGCACGGAGAAGTCCAAGGAGCCCCCGGCAGCGGAGGGGAGGGGCGGAAATGGGGAGGCTCGTGGCACGAGGAACTCGGGGAACTCCAAAATTCGGGGTAGAAGGTTAGTCAGGGAGAACTTTCTTGCAAATGCAAGTAGCGAAATGGGATGGTGTCAGCACCCAACTAGAATCAAACCAGAGGGTCCCTCGGTACCTTCTAAGGAGGTACTGAACGACCCCTTTTCTATCCCCCAAAAGCCATCCTCATGAGGTAGCCTGCAGCCTATCCTCTCGACTCCGCCCGAAAGGCTTCAGCCCAGACACTTTCCTGGGATTGTAGGAAGCAATGGACTGGGGATCTCACCTTTCAGATCCTGAAAGGTTTGCTTCCAAGAGCGGCACCATAGGGCTTCAAATCCTGCCTGAAGTCGGATGGTCAGATGGCCTTTGCATGATTAAGGCAAGCCCTGCTTCAACTCTTCCCTCCAAAGCCCAGTGTGCTCCCTGTGCCCTATGCCCGCAGGTTTCACACTGCTTATTTGCAGTGGCATTGACTTATTCTGCTTCGGTGTGTGTGTGTGTGTGTGTGTTTCGTAATCATGTCGTTCCTTTTGTTGCTTGCCATTGCCCAGTTGGGCCGTGACACCTTTCTTGGTTCAGTTCGGATTGCCAAAATCCATACAAATGTTTGTTTGTGCCTCATAGCAACTTGAGACATGTGACATACCTGGACCCTCAAACTACCCTTCAAAATGTGACATCACCCCAATAATTTTGAAAAAAATGGGGGAGTATACTCCATTTTTTTGGGGGTAGTTGGAGGCAGGCGGCTCTCTCGGAGCCGTGTAACTGTCATCGAATCTGAGTCTTGGGGTTGGGAAGGGGGGTGGGGGGTGGGGGGTGGGGGGTGGTGGGGGGCCAATGAATGCGGCGCTTCTCTGTTGCGACCACCTGTGCTTGGGGTGGGGGGTGGGGCGAATGAATGCGGCGCTTGTCTGTTGCGACCACCTGTGCTTGGGGTGGGGGGTGGGGGGTGGGGGGTGGGGGGGGGCGAATGAATGCGGCGCTTCTCTGTTGCGACCACCTGTGGGTGGGGGGTGGGGGGGGGGGTGGCGAGGAAGGATATGTTATGCGCTTCTCTGTTGCGACCTCCTGGCTCTGGGGTTGGGGGGTGGGGGGTGGGGGGGGGCCAATGAATGCGGCGCTTCTCTGTTGCGACCACCTGTGCTTGGGGTGGGGGGTGGGGGGGGGGGCGAATGAATGCGGCGCTTCTCTGTTGCGACCACCTGTGGGTGGGGGGTGGGGTGGGGGGGGGCCAATGAATGCGGCGCTTCTCTGTTGCGACCACCTGTGCTTGGGGTGGGGGGTGGGGGGTGAGGGGTGGGGGGGGGCCAATGAATGCGGCGCTTCTATTTCTGCTGTCATGTGCACCATAGCCGACGGAGCCTCCAGCCTAGGTCATTTCAGCTTCTTCTCGTGTAATCCAAGCGTTCATTTTCGCATTATGTTTATGTGTTCCAACAAGCGGGATTTTGGGCATATTTACTACGTATGTTTTTTCCAGCATCCCACGACGGAGCCTCCAGCCTAGGTCATTTCAGCTTCTTCTCGTGTATTAGGTCAAAAAACAAACTTTTCGGGGACCCCCTTTGCACAGCCCATGTCGCAAGAAGTTTGAGTCAAATGAGGCAAAAACACCGCAAATACCAGTGAATTTGCCTTCTCGCACTTCAAAACACGCAAAATGCTGTCGGTGACAGTTACACGGCTCCCAGAGAGCCGCTTGCCTAGTTGGAGGGTCAAAATAGCAGGTAGCCATTTGAGGGTCGGCCCGGTCAACCAGCCCGCGACGGCACGGCACTCTCGACCCTCTACCCGACGGCACCCAGGCCATGGGTATCACAACTACGGCTTCGTGAATACGCTGCCCGTGGTAGTGCAGCTTTTTTGGCGTGAGGGCGAGCAGGAGAGCGATTCACGAGACATGGATTCGGACCATTGGTCCAGTTCTGTATTGCGGTGTTGTGTGTAGTTGTTTGTTTGTATGTGTTGTTTGTTTGTATGTGTTGTTTGTTTGTATGTGTTGTTTGTTTGTTTGTTTGTTTGATTGATTGATTGTTTGTTTGTTTGTTTGTTTGATTGTTTGATTGTTTGTTTGTTTGTTTGTTTGTTTGTTTGTTTGTTTGTTTGTTTGTATATTTGTGTGTTTGTGTGTTTGTGTGTTTGTGTGTTTGTTTGTTTGATTGTTTGTTTGTTTGCTTGCTTGTTTGTTTGTTTGTTTGTTTGTTTGTTTGTTTTTGTTGTTGTTTGTTTGTCTGTCTTTTTTTGTCTGTGTTTGTTTGTTTGTTTGTTTGTTTGTTTGTTTGTTTGTTTGATTGTTTTTGTTTGTTTGCTTGCTTGCTTGCTTGCTTGTCTGTCTGTCTGTCTGTCTGTCTGTCTGTCTGTCTGTCTGTCTGTCTGTCTGTCTGTCTGTCTGTCTGTCTGTCTGTCTGTCTGTCTGTTTGTGTGTTTGTTTGTTTGTTTGTTTGTTTGTTTGTGCTTGTGTTTGCTTGTTTGTTTGTGCGTGTGTTTGCTTGTTTGTTTGTTTGTTTGATTGTTTGTTTATTTGTTTGTTTGTTTGTTTTTTTTGTCCCGCTCGTTTGTTTGTTTGTTCGTTTGTTTGCTTGTTGCTTTGATCTTGTTTTGTTTTTGGGCTTGATTTGGTGTGTTGTTGTGTTTTGAATAGGTGTGCCCCTATTGGACAAACTCATAGCAAGACACCAATCTTTCAGAGGTTGAACCTATTCGGAGACAAACAACATTTGGGCTCTTGGGGTCAAATGAAATCGCAGCCTCGCAAAGGTCATGATTTGCAACCGAACCTGCCCCAACGACGGTTCCTTCAGGGATTCCTCATTATCACTTCGGTGACTCATTGTCAGATTGCAGTTTCCATGACATGTATCTTCACATATCTTGTTGCATCCGGTAGAGCAAAGTTACATTGATCCTGACAAGGTGACCTTGTTCTCCGGATGGCAATATCAAGACTATGGAAAGCAGGAGCAAAAGGAACCCACTGACTTGCCCTGCTTGCAAGCTCTGGGGGCTTATCTGAGTTTTTACAGAGGGTTTCTTCCCTTGGTTGGAGATCCCTCGAAGCCCCAAGAACTGTGAATCCCGAAAGAAAGCAATAGTCATGAAGCCCCTCCGGTCCAATAACCTATGAGCACAGACACGAGCAAAAGCTTGCCTCAGAAGCAGAATTTTGGGCGGGGGTAGCAGACTGGAGGCTAGACACAAGCACTTCACCATTCTGGGAGCCTTCGATTTGTGTCATGTCCGTCTGGCCAATTCGTGCAAAGCAGCTTCCGCCTTCTGCTTTGCTGCAGCCATTGGGTAGGGCCTCGGGGCTTGTAATTCGTTCCTGCGGTTCGAGCGAGCGCCATGAGCTGACCAATGGCCGTGCTCATGCGCGGCCGGGACATGCGGGGGAGATTCCCCAGCAGCTGGGAGAGCTACCAGGACTCAAATTCTCTTCATCCTTTCACTCTAACCATGGTCTCACTTCCTGAGTTCATGAACTTTAAACTTTTTGGGAACACCATTTTAGTGGTAAATGTAAAGTTTGGACATTTTTTGGGCCATCCACTCAGCCAGTGAGTGGTTGTTGTAACACATTTTTCATTTTTGCTTATTGTGGTCTAGTGGGAAATGCCCACTTAGCTGCTAAGATTCAATATGTTGCTCCCCTTCCAACGTCAACCAAGTAAACTGGGGGGAAGAAATCGCATGGAAGTTGGAACGGACAACCACAAGAAAATCATATGGGTGTGCGTTCTTGGCCATGTAGTCTAGGTACTTTGCAAAAAAGGGAGACACTCCCCCCCCAAAAAAAAACTCCACCCCCCTCAAAAAAAGCGTTCGTGTTTCTCCTTTGGGTCTCCCCATGTTTTTTTTTTGTTTTCCCCCCCCTTCTTCCCAGCCCCCCCTCCACCCACGAGTCCGTCCCGGCGCGGGCGCGTAGGAGGACTACGAGCAGCAGCTGGCGCTCCGCGCACACCTGGACTCCCTGGCCGTGGAGCTCTCGGTGCAGACCACCGCGCTGGACCTGCTCCGCACCGAGGCGCGCCGGCGCGGCGTCTGCCGGAAGCGGCAGCGAGGGGAGGAAGCCGCCGGGGGGGTGAAACACGAGGGCCTGACGAAACAAGTACCGGGGATCTTCCGTTGGCTTCAGATGTTTTATTATTAATATTATTTTCACCTGTTGGTTTTAGAGGGAGTCTATCACTAGTTTGTTTTTTTGGTGTTTCTTGTTTTTCCACCGTTGGCTTTCAAGTGGATCTATGACTACTGGACATATTTTTATGTTTTATTTTTCCCAGGGGACTTAAGCAAATGCAGGATGACTAAAGAAATACCGGGAAATTGTGCTATCTGACTTCCACCCTGGGGTTACCCCCCTCCCCTTTTTTTGCGTTAGAAAGGTTTATGTTTTAGTTTGGGAGCCTCGGATTGTTGTTCACCAATCACTTTTGAGAGTTTCCTGGGTTCCTCATTCAAAGTTGTTTCTGTCAGAAACTTGATGGTTCTCAAGGAATCAGGGGTTTTGGAAACCACTGGATGCCGGGGTTACTGCTTCCCTCCAGGGTTCCTAAACAAATTCCTCTCGTGGATTCAATTGTCAACTGGGCCAGTTGTTCTTGTGTCCCTTTCAAATGATGTAAGGACAATCTACAGGAGCCCTATATATTTTAATTGATTTGATTGGGACTTTCAATTGATGCAAGGGAAGTATAGAAGCCCTTACTTTATGAATTGGTTTAACTGACATGAGGCTCACAGCAAAAGTCCGGCGCTTCGCAGGTGGCCCTGCTGCTGAGCCGTCGCCGTGTGCGGCACCACAGGGACTTGGCCTTCCGCGCCTGGCGGCTCTGCTCGGCGCCGGCGGCTTCGGCGCTTCCGGCGGCTTCGGCGCCGGTGACGTGGGAGCCGGTGACGCGAGGTGGGCGCTTTGCGGACAGGGATTCGGGATATTTGTAGAAAGAAATGGCATTCAAGCGCTTTGGGGGGGATTAATTGCTTTTTTCATGTTTGACTTGGCTCTGGAGGTCATCGAAGTGATCGAGGTCGCGACGACTACACCTTGCGCAGCGCCACCTTGATCTGCTTCTTCCAGTCCCGGGATCGGCTGCAGCACGCGCTGTCGCATTGGCGCCTAGCCGTTCAACGGCGGGGCCCAGGAAGGGCCTTGCCCTTGTGGCGGATGCAGCTGTGCTTTGGGGCCTGGCGGGGACTGCTGCTTGGATTCAAATGGGCGGGGCTTTGCTTGGGACCCCACTTTGCAGAGGGAATCCCTGAGCCATCACCAAGAATCCTTGAACATAGATGTCATTTAATTTGAGCCTTGTGCAACGATTACCCGGCAGTGGAAAGCAGCCGTTTTAAGCCATGACCCCGATTGGGTGTGTTTTTCTCTTTTCTTTTTCTATGGAACCCTTCACTCCCTTTGTTCTTCTTGGACCACCCCGTAGGGAGTCCCTCCCCTTTTGGTTTGGTTTGGACCGTCCTTTCCCCGGTCCCTCTTTGAGGCTCGGCCATGGCTGTGGCCACGAGCGGCTCCTCGCGACGCGGCGGAAGGCCGCAAATGCGCTGCGCACGCTGCGGGACTACGACCTGCTCTACTTTGTGCTGCAGGCCATCGTTCGAACTGACGCGCAAAAGGCATAGGTGTCCTTTTTAGGTGAGTTTCGTTAGCAATAGATGGCACTGGTTTAGATGGGGTGTATTCCATTTACCAGGTCCTTTTTTGTTTTCTTCGAAAAGGCCTCCTATGGCAAAGGGCGAAACCCAGAAAAAAGCTGCCGACCGGTGACCGGGGCCCATCAGGTGCTTCACCAAAACAGGGGGCTTGTAACCCCAGAGGATGCCACAGTTCAGGTCCCAAAGCTCTGAATGATGTGATTTGGGGCTGCAGATTCCAAGGCGTGGAATGGAGCGGTGGTCTCAGCAGCGCTGGCGCATTTGGACGGGAGTCGCAGGGAAGGGGTATTCCAGCCAAAGATAAGCGGAGTGCCCAGGGACAGCTTCCCAAGACGGGCTGCCTGGCTGCAGACTGTTTGTTTTATGTGTTTTTTTGTTGAACACTTTCCTTTCCAATCCAAAGGGCAAGGAATATTTTGTGGCAGCCACTGTGCAACTAAGGTTGAAAGTCCAGTGACCCAGCGGCACCTCTTTGTTTTTATTGTGTTTGTTTTGTTTTCCTTTTTTGGTGGAGTTTCCCTTGAAACACAACAACACCTGGGGTCTTGAAAACACCTTGTTTGTTTGGATGCTTTTAGAGGCAACCAACAGGAAACCAACCTGCACCCCCCCAACCGCTGCTTTTTGGACAGTTGGGATTTTGGACTTAAAAATTTAAAGAACAGTTGTTGTGGGGTGCTGGAAACATGGTTTGCCTTTTTTTGTGGGATAAATAAGCAGCCCTCCTGGTAGAAACCCTTCTCAAAGGAGGCTGTTCATTTCAGCGGAAAAGGCAACCCCTGGCTGGAAGCGCCCCAGATTTCGGAAACGCCCCAGGTAAGATCTGGCCAAAGATCGCCAGAGCGCTCCCGGCGTCCGTCGCACCTGCACCGCGCCTTCCGCGCCTGGCGCGGGCAGAGCGCGCAGTCCGCTTCAGAGCAGCGGCGCCTGAGTCTGATCGCGGCACAGGTCCGGAGAGAAGCTCTGAAAGCAGATCGGCGTGGCTTTGAGTTGGTACCCGCCTTTTTGAAGTTTCAAAGGGACATCAAAAGGAAAACCGAAGCCATTTAGGGGTCCTCTAAGAGAAGGCAAGCCGTGTTTTTTGTGGAGGGTACTGTTTTTTTAGGTTGGTTCACAGGACAACTGAAAGGACAGTCACCTTTTCGCAGGGTCTCTGTTTTGATACGTACCCGAATCGATTGATGCTTTTTCGAATCAAGGTTCAACCATTTTTGAAAACCTAGGGGCTGCACTTATATTGGTGTGGAAACGGTTTCTCATGCTTTGCATTCCAGCCTTTTGCTCTTGTTTTTTCCTGCCAGAATTGTGTTCAGCAGTTTTCAATCATAGCTTCAAGGTCAACCTCTATTTTCTTTTTTGTGGTTTGGGCGCAGCGTGTGCCAAAGCTCCTCCTTCAAATGGAGTGAGATATTCCATGTTGCCTTTCCAACGGTGCTGAAATGAGCGGCCTTTGGTATTGACGCACCACATGGGCGTGTCTTGTTTGCGCTTTGGTTTGTGTGTATACCTTGGGTTCTCTCAAGAGGGCAAGCAAAAGTAACCTGTTGCCAGCTGGAGCGCAGGGTATGGCAAGCAGTCACCTGTTGGGTTGTCAAACGTATGTCCTTCATGTTACTGTCATGCGACCCCCCAACGGCGCCACCTTTCTGTCATCCCACCACACGGAAAAATTAGCTCCTTCCTCACACCAAAGATGAGTCATGATGAGTCGTCGCCTCCCGGGGAGCGAAACAGTTTGCACACTGTGCAATAGTCATCCACAGCAAACATTTGCTTTGCTTTGTTGCCAAAATAGAGGAGTCGCTCCAAATGGGCACGCTAAAGGACACCAAGCAACAAACAATGACAGATGTCCATTGACAACTCTCACTTGTCGCCAAGCTTGAGCTTGAGCTGGCAGCCATCGGACATGAGATATGACTGAAAGTTACTTCACATCGCGTCCAGTTTCCCCAATTTTAGAAGACACCCTTTTGGCTACCATGGGCTATCCGGCTGTGTCGAAGAAACCCGACAGAACCCCGCAAAAACGGAATGACACCCCGTTTGCATGTTTGCCAAGGGAGTCTCCCAAGATTGGGACTCGTTTTTCGTTTGGTTGGAAGGGAAGCTCAACCAAAGCAGGTCCGAGACGCCCAGGATTCTTCTCCGCCCTGTATCAAACAGCCCAGAGTTAATCTGGTCAAAAAGGACGTCAGCCAAAAGCGATAAAGCTGTTCAATGGGAAGCCCAACTGCAATCCCTATTGGATGTTCTAAAGGGAAACCCAAAGGAAACCGAAAGGAAGCTTCTGGTTGGTCTTGGTCTTTTGGACCTCCACAGGTAAAAGAAGAAGTGGGACATTTTCCCCATGGAAATCCAGTTGTCTGTTTCCGGTTCTGAGGAAAAGCTTCTGCTGACGATGCACTGCTGGCACAAGGCCGCCTCTTTGGAGAGGTCTTCCCGCACCTGCGGCCAGGTTTGGCAGCAGGCGGGAGACCTGGAGACCTGGCCGTTTTGGCCTCGATGGCGGTGTTCTGGTGGTGTCCCCGGATGCCAATAGGGGATGGAACCCATGTTGAGAAGCTCCCTGAACGCGCAAAACCGATCCCTATGTTAGTTCTTGTGAGGATGTTCACTCCAGGGCTTGGAATCTGTGGGAATCTGTGGGGGTTGATCAATATCCTTGCCCCCCAAATGACCATGGATAACTTTTTTTCTCAGGTGGTTGTTTCCAATGGTCATCGCATGTAATGGACCTTTAGATCAACCCCCATATAACCTGCCACTGGTGAGGTGACAATATATATATATATATAATCTACTACTCAGCTTAGCGGGTCGCGACTACTGGCCCAAAAATAAACCATCCGGGGGCGCAGCTCCCCACAATTTTCGGGAAACACCAACGGGCTGTTGGAGGGTTCCCTGTTGTTTCCCCCTTAAATGTTACCCCAAAATCGGCTCAGCTCACGGTGAATCGGACTAAAGGGTGCTCCAAGCAGGGTGAATCAGTGAACTGACAGCCTGTTTGGCTCAAAGGATGTTGTTTACACCAATGGGATTTTCAGCATGTTGAGAGAATGATACCGCAGGTTGAATGTATTCCAACACGTCTTTGCACTCAACCACTGGTCCCCCTTGAAGGGAAACCAAAAGGACTGTTTCAAAGCAGCAGTGGCGCAGGCATTTTACTGATTGCATGAAAGTGACACCTCAACAGTAACCTCTAAATGGCTGTGGCTCAAAAAACCGACCAAAATGGCTTGCCCTGATAAGTGGAAGCATGGACCAAAACCTGCGGTTTGCCCCTCCTGGTTCATTTTGAGCCACGCCCAAATGGTCGTTCAAAGGAAAAGCATTGCTCCAGATGTACCTGTGAGGCCCGCTTCAACCGGAAACCCCCCCCCCAAAGCCTTCAGGCAGCCGCCACTTTGGCGAGGACGAAGGCCAGGAACCTGCCACCCGGCAAAAGGATGTCTCCTTCCACGGGCATGTGGCGTGTGTTGGTTCATGTTGGTTCAACCGGGTGCTAGATGAAGCCCGTTTGTTTGTTTCCTTGTTTTTTTTCCCTTTCTTTTTTTTAGAAGCAAACAGCAGATGTCAAAAAAAGGGGTCAGTGTTGTTTTCCTGAGCTCTACTTAGCCCCCAGTATTTAGAATCAACCCAAAGATTGGTGCCCTGCTCATTCTTGGCAGCGTCTGCAGCCTTGTTTCGTTGAAATTTGCACCTTGATTGAACTTGGCCAGACGACCTGAGCTCATCTCCGTCCCATTCAGATTGGAGTATGGCTCGGTAGCCCGATTTTCAGAACGATGCCAGACACACTCTACCTGTTTGTTTGTTTGTTTGTTTGTTTGTAGCTCCATTTTTTGTTAGTTGGACCCGATGGACTCCAGCTTCCTATTGCCTGTTCTGTCTTGCACTTTGCGGGACCCGGTTTGCCAACTGAACCTTTGCACTATATATCATGGTTCCCCATATGTACATATTACTTATATGTATAGCTATTTTGCATGAACATATAATATAGCTAACTGACATAGCACTCTACACATAGCAAAACACGTCTACATCAACCCCCCCCCCTCCACCATCAAAGCCCCGGCGGCCTTTGGTTGGCCAAATATGGGGCCTGACAGCAGATGAACAAACCAGGCCACGGCTTTGATTGCAACCAAAAGGCCCAAGCATAAAGCCCCTCGTCCAATGTGAGGTTCCTCAAGAAAGTCACTTTGCCCAAGTTACTAAAGCGATCAGAGGTGAACACTGTTCTCAATCCAACGAATCATAAGCAACGACCCACAGGAGAAACCAAACACCAACACCAAACAAGCAAACAAGCAACCAAACCAAGCCAAAACAAACCAACACGAAACAAACCACACCAAACCAAACCAAACCACACCAAACCATACCAAACCAAATCCAAGCAACCCCAAATAAGTTCAACTTGGAGTGTCTTTCACCTGAGGCTCTGGGCTTATTGGCGCCGTTGGTCCTGCGGCTCTTGGGCGGTGCGTCAGAAGTCCCAGTCCCAGCGCGCAGTGCGGCGCCTGGGGGCGGCGGCGGCGCAGGCGCTGCGCATGTGCCGGGCCCAGCTGCAGGCGGGGGGTGGGGGGGGATGGTGACGCAGGGGATGTATGGTCTAGGGGATGTATGGCGACTCAGGGGATGGTGACTCGGTCCATGTTGGGTGGGCGGGTATTGGCTCACTTCCCGAGTTCTTGGACTTACTTGAGTCACCATTTGGATTTTACCCGGCCAGGGCCCTAATTTTGGTGGCTTGGATTGGTTTGGATTGGTGGTTTGGCTTTGGATTTGAAGCGCAGCTTTTGAAACCAACTGGAGAAGGTACCTAAGGTCCAAAACCAATTGGCTATGGTCTACGCGTTTACAGGGGGGGTTCCTGGACTTGTTTGGGACTATATTTGAATACGAGCCTGACAAGGGGGTGCCTTCAAAAGAAAATTGTCTTCCAGGACGCCCCCTGTGTTTACCAAGAACTCGGGTAACCAATTGGTGGTTTTGATTGGTGGTCCCTCCCGCCCATCAACATGGAGCCTGACAGGGGGTTCCTTTAATAGAAAATGCTCTTCCAGGACCTGCCAGAGTCCATGTTAGTGGGTGGGAGGCTATTGGCTCACTTCCTGAGTTCTTGGACTTACTTTTTGAGAAGGTCATTTTAGTGGTGAAAACAACAGTTTAACGGAAAGGACTTACAGTGCAAATGGGTGTGTGTTTTTTTGGGGGACCCCCAAAATGGCCTGCCTTTTGGTTTCCCAGTTAAACATCATGAAAGCGGTCCCAATTTATCGATTCGGCAACTACTTTCGTGCCACGAAAAAGGAGGAACACAAGTGTCTCCTGGGGACCAGGTAAACACACCCTCATGGACTCCTTAAGGATGAATCTATGGATACTTTGTGGGTGCTTGGCGGGATCTTTGGACCTGATCTTGTTGGGCAGCAGCGAAATGTCCACCGGACACACCTGCAAAGGGCTCAACAGCAACCAAGCAGTGTTTTTCCTTGTTGCGTGGTTTGTGTTGTGTGAGGGTATATGTTGCAACCCACGTTTGGGTGTATTGGCTTTATGGTTGACTTATTGTGGGCCAAAGTTGGGGGGAGGATTGGGGGAGGGATTGGGGGAGGTGGGGGGTGTACGGGGTATAATATGCGATCGTTATTTTTACTCCAAAATCAAAATGAATGTGTACAGCACATATAAATACATCCGAATCTGTTTGGGAGCTGGAGCAGAGCCAGACAAAATGTCCACTTCAAAGTGATCCTCTTTGACCGGGGCATTGATTCGTTCCAAGGGCAGCCCCTCCGACTAGTACATTTGTTCGCATGGATCCCATGTAGATACTACATTATGCTACCTTTGATACTACGGTTATGTTGGGGTAAAAACTAGCGCGCACCCTTTTCCGATGCGTCTTGAGCCAACGTTGCAGTTGGTCGTCCATGCTACTCATGCTCATGAAATTTGAGTGCTCTCTTCACACTCCCCCTGTGGCATTTGCCACACCATCAGACCACATCCCAATTGGATGAGTCCGAAGACGAGGCCCTCTTATCGGATTCCTCATCTCGAAAAACTCCTAACGTCTCCGTCGCCGGGAACGTCAAGACCGGCCCCGCGTCCTTACCCCGCTTCTCCGAGCTGCCTCGCGCATAGCCGTGGTGAATCTCTCCGCCACCAGACCCAATTGCTCTTGGATCCACGCTCGTTGAAGCCCTCGCACGATTCCTCGTGGATTTTCCGCCAGAATTCCGCCCTTGATCTGGAAGAAGGTGTACCCCCGCCATGGTTGCATCTGCGAAGTCCTCTGTCGCTCTTGATGAGCCGTCCAGCTGTCCTCCACAACGGACCGAATCCCCAAAGGCGATGTGCCCGTGGGTAGCTTCACCGTGATCCTCCTTGATTCCAGCTGCGCTGCATCCAGCGGGAACTCCCTGTGGATCGGGTGGAACTTGCGCTTCCGAGGTTTTCCATGTGCGCGGATTGCCCATCCCGGCTGGGACCAATCCCATTCATCCTTGTTCTTGCTCTTGAGCATCGGGGGAACCTTGTACTGGTCGAGCTCCCATGGGAGTGCTGGTCCACCCTGATGCGAATCTTCCTCTGGATCTTCTGACTTCTTCTCCTCAATCTTCTTCTCCTCAATCTTCTCCTCCGAAGATGGCTTCTTCAACAACCACCTCAAAGCTCGTAGCCGTGGTCGAACTTCTCGCTCCTGTGGGGCCCTGACGTGGGTGTTCCCAATCCTGGGACGGGCTGGTCCCGCGTCATCCGGGTTGTTGTCATCCCTCGGACTGCGGCTTCGTTCACGTTCACCCGGTACTGAAGTGATCCCCAAGTCCCTCAAACTCACATTGCCCCGCAAAGGAGCCACAAACGTCGTAGATCCCGTCCAGGCATCTGCTTCGCGAAAAACATCCGTCCTCCAGTTGTCATTGATCACCCGCCGCCCGCGTCTGATGTCGACGAAGACCAGATTTGTCTGTCGCCGACCCTCCAGCATCGTAGCGTTGACCCCCGGAGGCATGTTCCTGGGATCCGGTTGAAAGTCCCGGTTTCTCCTCAGCATATGGATGCGGGTCGCCACGATGAAGTCTCGCTCAAACGTCACCTCCCAAAAGTCCTCGGGCTCCTCATCCAATGACCCACGATCTGGACCACCCGGAGGTTCAGGCCATGGCTCACCCGGTGCCCCGATCGGCACCTGACCCTTACCTACTGATGCAGGGCAGCCCGTAGGGCAGTGGTAAAATGGCCTGCGGCAAAGATCCACCGGTTTACCCTCGGGGCTGGTTCATTTTCCCTAGCCCATCTTGATGTCACAAAGGGGTCCTCTACTGCGGTCGGTTCATCTTCTCTGACCATCTTTGCAACCCTCATTGGGTTGTCCTCACGTGCGGCTGGTTCATTGTCCCTAGCCGATCTTGTTTCCCTCTTGGGTTGGGCCCATTGGCCTTTCAGCACGAATCCTACACCCACTCCAAGGGATGCCAAGCAGACATCCCGGATCAGGCACGATCCCCGATCCTGAGGCTTCCAGCAGGCGATGATGCCCATCAACCCACTCATCGCAGCGACCTTCACCGCTGCCTCCTTGCCAATGACCCGACCACCGTCTGCTTCTCCTGGTCCTGGCCGCGAAACCACCTCCGACTCGTCCTTGATCATGCCCGCCATGGAGTAGAATCGAAGCCACTGGGTCCTCGCCGCGACCGCCTTCGTGAGGTAGTCAGCCACCAACCCACTACCCGGCAAATGTCTGATCTGCCATTCCCCTTCTCGCACTCGTTCACGCAGCACGTTGGATCGAAGGCGCAAATGCCGAGTGCGCCACGGCCCCGAAGGACTTTGCACGATTGCCAAGGCCGCCGTGTTGTCCCCATAGATCACCCGCTCCGCCTCCTTGGCGCTCCAGCATCCCCCTTCGGTGATGTCCAGGATTGCACAAAGGGAGTCTCCCATGATCATGGCCTCGATATAGCCCACCAACTCCGCCTCTGCCGTGCTGAGGGTGCAAAAAGGTTGTCGACCCGATTCCCATTGGACGAGGGCACCACCATAGAATCCCAAAACTCCCTGGTGGCTCTTCTCTCCCTGCGGCGCAAAAGAGATGTCCGCGTACATTTCCAGCCGCCTCATCGATCTCGCAAAAGGAAGATCCCCTTCTGCTCCTCGGTCTCCCAGGCAGCGCCCATAGACCAGTCCCAAGTCCTTCGTGCCGTAAAGGTAGGCCATCATGTCCTTCCCAGCCTTCACGACTTCCAAAGGGCACCGGGTGACATGTTGCGACATCCAGGAAAGCCCGAATGCCACATCCGGCCTGGTGCGTACCGGCACCCACAACAATTCTCCAACCAGTCCCTGCGCCTCCCGGATGCCATCTTGCGTGACCACCGGATTCTCAGGAACCTCCGGCTTGTAGAACGGGGCCGGTTTGGCCATCACCACCTCATGACGCTGCATCAGCTTCGAGATGTACGAAGGTTGTGCCACCCGGAGAATCTCACCGTCCTCGTCCCACTTCAACTCCATACCGCAGAACTTCGTCCATCCTGCTTTGTTCACCCACTCCGGCGCGCTGCAGACCCACTCCTGATTGATCCGCTTGATGACATTCTCCACCAAGGAAGTAGGTCCCACCGCCAGAAAGTCGTCCACATAGATCACCAAGTAGCCGCAGGGCTTAGGGTCCTTGCGAGCCCCGGCCTCAAACTCCACCATAGACCATACACTGGTTTCCGGCGTCCGTTCCAAGCCATAGGTCCTCCCCCGATCCTGCCAGGTGAAGCCCGCTAGCCCTTGATCTTGGAACGCTGACCAATCTGCTGGACTGGTGTCCAAGCCATACATGGCTCCTTGAACCAACCACCGCTCTGACGCCTTGACGATCCCAGCCTCCACCAAAACCTTCGGGGGCCTTGTGATAAGAGTTCGCCGGGTCTCCTTCCGGGGCGCCAGCAAGAACGCGCACTTCACATCCACCGTCGCCAAGGACCACTGTTCATGGGCTCCCTTTCTTAGAACGCATCTCAGAGCCGTCCCGTCGATGCCCCCGGCATAGTTCTCCGCCTTGTCCGCCGAGGTCCGCGCCACCTTGCCGTTGCCGTCCGCCAGCAAATTGCCACAGATCACCGCTCTCGCCCTCTTTCTTCCCGTCGGGGCCTTGATGGTCGTGACCAGCTTCCCCGGGGCGTACTCGGCATCCTCAATCCCCGGAACTGCCGCCAGATCGCACTCGTCGATAGGCTTGACCACCTCTGTGTTCACCAGAGAGCGATACTCGTCCATCATGGCCTCTCTCCATGCTTCCAGATCCTTCCGCACCTCCTGCAAAGGCACCGTGTAGGTTTGCAGAACCTTCGCCGGTTCTTCTCCATCTGTTCCCTGTAGTCCTGCCAGCTTGTGGAAGTCCTTGTTCTCCCGGTCCTGCATGATCACCAGGTCATCCTCCAGCTGGTTGATGCCGCCCAGGAGGAACTCCATCGCTGCTCCTTGACCATTCCCGGTGATCTCATCCATGGGGATCACCTTGAGCTCCTCCGCCAGTGCTTCCTTAAAGCCCCACTGGTAGCTGCTC